GAGCTCCTGGCAAAACTCAAACACAAAGAGGGAGTAGACAGAGAGTGGAAGATAACCTGGAGGGAATACAAAGACATTGTCCAAACATGCAGAAATGTGATTAGGAAAGTCAAAGCCCAGATGGAGCTGATTCTGGCCAAGGATGTCAAAAACAGTGAGAAAGACTTCTATAAATATATAGGTGACAAAAGGAAGATCTGGACAAATATGACCTCGCTGCTGAATGGAGCCGGGAACATAGTGACATGAGGCATGGAAAAGGCTGAGGTACTGAATCCCTTGTTTGCCTCAGTCTTTAGTAGCAAGACCAGACTTCAGGTAATCCCAGGTCCAAGAGATCAGTGGAAGAGTCTGGAGCAAGGAAGACTTCCCCTTGGTGGGCATGGATCAGGTTAGGGAATACTTAAGCAAACTGGACATACATAAAACCATGGACCTTGATGGGATGCACCTACAAGTGCTGAGGGAACAGGCGGATGTCACTGTGAGGCTGCTCTCAATAATCTTTGGTTGATCATGGTGGTTGGGAGAGGTGCCTGAAGACTGAAAGAAAGTAAATGTCACTCCTACTTTCAAGGACACAAAGGAGGTCGAGTAACCTATAGGACACACGGTCTCATCTTCATCCCCGGGAAGGTGATGGAACAGCTAATCCTGGAAACAATTTTTAGGCACATGAAGAAGGTGATCAGGAGTAGTCAGCATGGATTCACCAAGGGCAAATCATGCTTGACAAACCAGATAACCTGTGATGAAATGACTGGCTTGGCTAATGAATGGAAGCCAGTGGACACTATCTTGACTTCAACAAGGCTTTTGACACTGTCTCTCATAAAATCCCCATGGAGAAGCTGATGAATTATCATCTGGATGAGCAAAGAATGGGGTGGATTGAAAACTGTCTGAACAGTCAGTCTAGAGAACGGTGATCAGTGGAACAAAGTCTAGTTGAAGGCCAGTATTAGTGGTGTAACCCAGGGGTCCAATCCTGTTCAATATCTTCATTAACAATCTGGATGGTGGGGCAGAACATATCCCCAGCAAGTTTACTGATGATACAAACCAGGGAGGAGTGACCTGAGGATTGTGCTGCCATCCAGAGGCACCTGGCCAGGGTCCTGAAGGAAGGGTGTAAATAGGCTCTTCTCAGTGGTGCACAGTGACAGAACCAGAGGCAACTGGCACAAACTGACAAAGGAGTCTGTCTGAACATCGGGAAAAATTCATTTACTGTGACGATGTCTGAGCACTGGCACACAGAAAGCTTGTGGAGTTTCCATCCTTGGAGATACTCAAAACCCAACCGGACATAGTCTTGGACAACCTCCCATAGGTGGCTCTGCTTGAATAGGGAGCATTAGACCAGATGACTTCCAGAGTTCCCTTCTAACCTCAACTATTCTGCAACTCTGTGATGCAGTAACTTCACCTGAAATGTAGAGATGTATACTACAGCACAACACATTTGGCACTCTGAATTATAAAAGAATAACCATGCCAAATATCCAGATCTTTCTGAAGCCCCAGGGCATGTCTCAAATTCAGTACACGAGAATCACTTTTTTTCCTTGTTTATTACTTGTTATCACATTAGATGTTGCTCTATTTTTCTTTATAAAATTATCATTATTATTTCATGGCATTTAGCTCCCATGGCTGAGCTGACTTCATGAAACTGATTCTTGTTTTTGTAAACTAAATGCCAGGAAAAAGGTGTAGAAATCCAGAAACCAGAAGCAGTTCTGACTGCTGACCTGAGAGTGTGTATCTGCAGCAGCAGCAGCTGACTGGATGGGAAAAGATCTATTAGAAGACTTCAATGGGCTAGAATATGAGGCAATCAGCTATTACACATTACTAGTCACAGAGTTAGAGTTGTATGTAATGTGTAGACGTTCTGAAAAGACAGTCCTAATTCATAGAAATAGTGCTAGAAATTATCAATTACTAAGCTTGCCTAGACATCTGATGAGCAATCTGAATATCATTCAAGCTGATGGGGTGATCAAATGTTTTTGATTCAGTTTCTGAATGAACATGATATGGAAGTTGTCAAGCTGATGCCAGCCAGAATACAAGTCATTGGATCTTGATCACTCCTTTTCCTCCTCTAACAAAAAAACCATTCAGGTTCCCTACTGCTATTCGTTAATATCTCAATTTGGAGCAACCTGAGGTCTCAAATGCTGCTTGTCAGATAAAGTAGATGGTTTGATCAGCAGACTCAGCTGTGCAGGTACAAAAGAATCCTGAGATGCTCAGAAAAAGCGAGGAAACAACCAGTGATACGAGTTGGGATGTGCTCAGAAACTCAAATGAAGGTCTTCTGAAGACAAGCCCCAGGTGATATAACATTTTGCTAGCTCATAGCAAACACTTCTGATAGCAACAAGCTAAGAAATAGGTGTGGTAATGGATAATGAAGTTACGGCTAATGAAGTCTTCATGAGTAAACTCCATTATCACCTTTGTTGAGTAAAGTGGTAGCTTTGCCATTGGATACATTAGTTTCAAAATGTCCATTTATAAAAATAATTTTTTGTTACAATCTTTCTGAAACTGTCTTATAATTGTTGGGGGTTATTTTGAGAAAAAAAAAGAGTACTACTTATTGTGGCCTCGTAAACATTTATTGCAGCCATAAAAATTTCAATAGGAAATGTTCCAGGCCACTTGAAAAGTGAGAAAAAAAAATAGGCAGGAGGAAGCATAAGTTATTGAAAGTGACATTGTACAAGAAAGAGATTCAACTGACGGAGAAGAAAAAAAGCAAAGCACCATAAAACCAGGTAAAACTTAACTTGAAAGAAAAGACTGACTTCAAGGAACAATAAAGATCTGCTTAAGAAACATGCCAGTGCTTCATCTCATCTACTTAATCTAAATACCATCACTTCTTAATTTCTTTTCCATGTTCCCACGCATAGAATTACTTTGATTAATTGTATTTGTATTATTAATTAATTCCACAGAATTCCTGAAGTGGTGGGCAAAAGAAGAAAGATGCCCAGTAAGTCTTTTCTCACTGATTTGAAAGCACATCAGTCTGTCTGCTGATACTTAACATTCTTTCTACCCCTATGTTTTGTTTAAAGCTCTTCATAAAGTACCTTTTAATAACATCGCATTCAATATTTATGGGCAAAATTGTTCCACAGGAATACTCAATTTTTTTCCCAAGTATTGAAACTAATTATCAGTTCCATCATATATCACATTTCCTTACTGCAAAGGAAAGCCAAAGCTAATCAAGAGAAGGAGGTAAATGTTCAAGCCATTTAACTAACAGAGGTAAAGACGGCTACAAGTCTGTAATCCACTACAGGGGCTCTGATGATATTCCAACCCCAGAAAATTTTAACTCAAGCACAGGGACTAAATTTTGGTATTGTATGCCCTCAAGAAAATTATATTTATATGGAATATATTAGAATATTTCCAAATACTAAATATGCATAAATAATGTATTTGCAACATTAAAGGAAGAGAGTAAGCTATTTGTTAAAGAAATGATAAAAAGTGTTTGTTGACTGACTGGAAGGAGAGGGCTGCAATTTTGACTTAGTTGTGAATGCAGATGCTTCCCTTTAGCAGAGCAAGGATAAATATTTATCTTACTTTTCTGAGTTAGAAATGAAAATTATTTTTATCTTTGTCCATTTCTGCAGCTCCTGGGCTTGTGGTTCTACTCTGTGACTACATAGAAATCACTCATTTCTCTCACTATTTTATTTCCTACTTATTTTCTCTCTTATCTACCTGTATGATACACTAATTTCCTGCTTTGTGTATTATAACATTCTACCTCCTGCCTGGTCTTTTTAATTCCCATGCTCTTTTAGCTTTCACTAGCAAAATCCTTTATGCTTTCTTTTTAGTGTCAGGTCCTGCTTTTGAATGACTTCCCTGACACCACTGTCTATATTCCATTCCTTTGTCCTCACAGCAACTGCTTTTCCTTTTCATGTGTATCTTAAGCAAAAGACCTTAGTTTATTCGTTAGTCTTTTTTACATATATGAGCACTACTGACTACTTCCTGTGCAAATAAGTAGCCCCACCCACACTGCCAAATGTATATTAAAAATAAAAATACAATAAAATAAAATATAAAAAATAAAAAAAGCACACAAATATAATTATGCCTTTTTCTCATTTGGATCCTCCCCTACAATGTCACATCACATATTCAGTAACAAAGACTGACAAATCTTCTGAGAAGATTTTATAATGTGTTTGATCTCAGAGTACAATAAATAATCTACCTATGCTGTTGTGCACTAGGGTATCATGAGAAACAGCGTTCTTTGTGAACTGAAAATTTGATTGAGCCCAACAGATGGATGCCCCTCAGGCACCTTTAGTCAGTAAGAAGTTGGAGTGAGTTTAAATTTCTCTGAAGTTAGAAGGCTCCATATCCCTCGAGCTATTATAATGTTTTAATTTTCTTGATTTTTTATTCTCTCTCCTTTAGATAATCCTAGTTTGATATTAGGAGATGTCAAAGAGAATATAATAGCTCAGGAACATCACCGAAGGGTTATTACAACCTGACGAGATGTTACGAGTCAGAAGGGATTGTACATCTTCTACAAACTGTTTTATGAACTGTTTTGATAGCAAACCTTTGCTCTCAAATAAAAAGTATTGCTGTAAGACACATTTTATTATTGGGTGGTTTGAGGGCATATGTACCCCATATGGTTATTTATCCCAGAAACGTCTATTGCGTCATGGCTGAAGCTGTAGAGGAGTGGATTTGATGGCTGAGACAGTCCATTTCTGTTCCCAAATTTCCAAGTTTCTGATTTTTCTACATATGGGAGAATATACTAGAATTTTATATTAGCTGGGACAAAAAGCAAGTATTTCTTTAAGTAGTTACAGGATATATTTTGCATTTTCTTCCTTCCCTGTGATAGACTCTCTCCCGTTACCCAGCCCCGGCGTGAGCTGGAATGCTCACCCCAAGGACCAAACCACCACCTCTAACGTTCTCACCTGGCCGATGTGCCTTTGGAACTGCCATGTTCATCACTCGTCCTCCATCCTGAGGTTTAGGGGGGGATGCGGTAAACCTGCAAATCCCCGACTCTGACGGCGTGCTTGAGGTCAGACTGTCTGTGTAGTCATTAGTCCCTGCCGTGAGCTGCTCCGACGATGTGTCTGATATGAAGCACTCTGTTATGGTGAACTTGGCATGTCTCAGCTGCTCTTCCATTTTTGCGTGCTCGTACGCTCTCGCTAACTCTTCGTAAGTTGAGGAGGCACTTTCCGTGGAGACCATGCTGCTTCTTGCTCGATCTAAACACCAGATATATAAATAAATAAATAAACACCTGCATGACCCTTTTTGGAAGGAAAGCTGTGAGCATGATAGTATTTCTTCATAAAATGCAGAGCCCTTGAAGTAATCAAGGTGATTTAAATAAGTCTGCTTCACTATAAATGTCTGCACAATTTTTGGTTTAGTCAGTTACTCAGTAATTACAGATAATCTGAAGAGAAGTACAATTCTGCTAGCAGCATTACATGGCTTAGCATTAAATTCACGCTTTAGAAGAAATAACCTTTAATACATGAAAAAGGTTACTTTAATTTTTATATTTTCTTTACAAAAAATAATTTCTGTAAAAGTTAAATGCACTGAAAATATTAAACCCCACAAAACAGATTTATCAAAATGAGATACAACTTCTTTACATTATCTTTTTAATGTATCTCAGAAATATTTCTGTGAGGTGATATCTGGATGAGAAAGGACTGTGTTTCTGTGCCTGTTTCAAACTTTTTTCTTTTTTTTTTTTTTTTGAAAAAACCCTGAGGACAAAAGCCAAACATAAAGACAGTGTCTCTCAGGCATTATCTCTGACTGAGACAACAGGTAAAAAATAACCCGTTTTATACAGAGCAAAGGTCTTAAGAAAGCAGTTCTGTTTGGTAGCCACCAGCCTGAAGGTGCTTTTTTCCATGCTGCTGAAGCTGATGGAGGCTTCCTATCTGACCTACGAGCTGGTCTTTTTTGCTGATGAGTTTCTGAGAAAAACAGTATTTCTTAAACAAACACTATCACTGAAGATGTGAATAGCTACTGATATATCAAAAAGCATTCTGGAAACGCATCACTCATTTCTGCAGGAACATATCACCAATCTGTTGCACCCATCGTGCTTCCACTTTGCAGGCCGGAAGAGCAGATTTTCAAAAGCTCCTTGGGCAGAAGTCGTTTCATCACAAGATCTATACAATTTCAGACATTGTTGGTAATGTTCAATAAACAGGCACAATGTAATAGCTAATTCATAAAAATGGGACTCCTATAGCAGCCAGAGGCAACTGTGTTGTTATTGCAAATCTTTATCTTTTTTATTGTGTGCTAGGATCCTTGCATCAGTTTTCATTGACCACAAAGAACAACACTCCTGACACTTGTAAATAGGATCATGCATTATTTAAAATGACAAATACTTCTACAATATTCTGTAACTTGCTTAAGATTTTGAGCAGGCCGTAACTTAAAAAAAAGGTCATTTTTTTTGTTCCCCATCCCCCAAAACATCATACCATTTTTAACATTTGATTTGTAAATAAACAAATTTTCTTTGTAAATAATGTCTTGCCAAATTTCTGACCAGCGGGAAACTCCTGGAAAGCTGCAGTTTCCCAGCGCCATAGAGCAATGTCTGTAAATATGATAGTCACTTAAAAGGTCCCAGTTGGGTCCATGAATCTCAGAACCTGCAGCTTCCCATATCCCATTCCCTGGGGAGGCTATTCCAGGAAGAATCTGCTTGAACACATTCTCCATATTTGAGGAAAGTTCATCCAAGTCCAGCATGAACTTCATGAAACCTAGATTCATCAGAAAATTACTATTGGCCTCTGTTTAGAACTTTTGAACTGAGTTATAGCTGTGAGCTATTGTAATACATTTCTCCTATACATAAAAGCTACTGCTCTCTAAAGCCGGAATTGTTTTGATAATAAGGGCTAAATTCTGTCAAATATCAACTGCATCAACTAGATTCAGAAATCTGAACTCCATATTGGAAAAGTGATCAAATGTGCACAGTACTTTAATTGACATTTAAACACATAATATGTCTGCATCTGTTAGAATGTTTATTTGGAAATTTTAAACTTCAGAAGTATGTAGTTTATACTGTCTCTATTTTTTTTAGTAGCTATGCTAAAACTTAGATTATGAAGTCTGTTTAAAAAATTGTGTGTAGTTTGCCTATTAAACCATGCAGCAAATTAAATTCTCCACCCTTTGCCATGTGCATTGGAAAACATCCTTGAGCGACAAAATGTTGGAACATATGCAAATGCACCTGAAATCTGGGATGTCTAGAAAAAGGGATTCTGACATAACATTTGCTATTTATATTTGTATCTGTACAGCTATTAGAGTTAATCCTTAAAGCCTTATGATAATTCTACATGAATAAATTATCATGAGATTGCCAGCTGGCTAAAGGTACCTACTGAATGCTGTTACCCTGTGGAGACAACATAGGGGTCTGCAAGTTTAAGAGGATGAATTGTGAAAAGATGAGAACTTCAACCTATAAATTACTGGATGTAAGAGAAGTCAGCTGCTTGTTCTTACAGAGAAAAGTCACACTGATTTTCACAGTGAAAGCCCAGTCTCATCTACTGCTTTCTAGCTATAACACATAGCTTTTTCACATGTCAAACACTTTTGCCCTAAAATCAGGACAGAAGGTAGGCAACTCATTCTGAGGATGCCAGAGTAATCCTGGATTTGCTTTTGCCAGGCATACCTCTAAAAAGTATTTTACTTTTCTTCACATTTAACCTTTATTAGATTTATTGTAAGTTCTCTACTATAAGGTTGGTGAAAAACTGGCACAAGTTGCCCAGACAGGTGGTGTTTCCCCATCCCTGGAGGCATTCAAGGTCAGGCTGGATGGGGTTCTGAGCAACCTGATCCAGTTAAAGATGTCTCTGCTCACTGCAGGGGGCTTGGACTAGATGACCTTTCAAGGTCCCTTCCAACCCAATGCATTCTATGATTCTATTCTATTCTTCTGCTTAATCATTTACTCATTTATTTGCCTTTTATTTTTGGTCATTTGTTCAGTATACAGCAGAGGAGAAAGATATATTTGGTTTTTTTCAGTTACAATCGCATTTATAATGCGAAGACATCAAGAAGAGAGGAAGACTGCAGGCAGAATAGTTATTTAATGTCTCCCCACTTATTACCTAGAGGAATAAAACCAATGCTGTTTCTCAGGAAAATGGGCATTAGTTGCTGCAGTATTCAGTGATATGAATGGATTTTGACTTTGCCTCTAACGCCACAGATTTTTCCCACTTTTTATTTTTTCCACTTAGAATAAACCCTATGAACATATTATGTGAATGTGAAAAGGGAAATACAAACCTCAACATAGCTCAAACCTTAAAACCACTCCACCTATGACTCAGGCAAATTCTTGGTTGCTAATACTGCCCCTTCCTGGTCAATGCCATTTCATGCAGTAAATTATCTTATATTTTCCTTCAGATATAGGAAGTGCTGCACTTCATCTTCAGGAAAAATTACAACCGTATCATTCAAAGGACTCCAGTATGTGTGTGTGGCATGAGAAACTGCAGGCACAATATTTGTTATCATTAGCACTACACGCCATTTGTGGCACTCCTTATATATAGCCTGCAGAAAAACACCCTCGCAAGGAAAGATAGTGACACCTGAGCACCAAATGAAGTGCACTGAAGACCAAGAAGGTTACTGGAGCTACTGTTGCCAGGTTTTCACAATGCAGCCCCGCAGAGAGCCCCGTACCTGTGTCCTGTGAGGGGCTGACGCTGTAGCTATCGCTTTCCTTGTCCACCGATCCCGCCGGCCTGGGGGTGGGCAGCCTCCAGTCGGTGGTGAGGGTATGAGCTGATATGGTGGGGTGAGGTCTGTTGAGGGTCCACTGGCTAGCGTAACGGTTGCGAGCCGTGGGTCCGGTTTTGGCACTCCTCCTTGTGGTAGGATCTGCGGTAGATAACAGAGAGGGTCTTTGCCACGAGGTTCTTGAATTGATAAGGAAACAAGCCCAGCCAGAATGGAATGGCCACTGAAATCATGTTGGTTAAAAAAACCAACAAAACATTCTTTGGAGGGGAAAAGAGTGAACAGTGAAAGTGCTGTTCATTACCAAACTGCTAACATTTTTAAAATACCCTCTTTCTAATGAAACCTTACATTTAAAAAAAGTGTGCAGGTAAAGAGCTGAGAGCTTCGCCAATCTCCAAATGACACATTCATTTATCCCTATACTTTACTTACTAAACCACTTCGAGATGTGAAAGAGCACAAGGCAAGTAGATCTGGTCACACCACATCTGAAGTGAAGTCTGAGGTAAATTACCAGCATAGATGTGCCTCAGAAACACGCTACAGAAGGTCTCTGAGCTCTCTGCTCAGAAATGTGGTGATACAATTTCCTGCTCTGGACATTTTGGTATGCTTTTGCTATATTACAATATGAATAAGCTACAGATTCCTTGTTTTTTTAACAAGTAGCCAAGGCATAAAACATAACTTGTAATAGTGCCATGAGAGTTTCACTGGGAACTCAGGTTCATAAAGATTTGACTGTTTAAAAAAAAATAGTAAATAAACACAATTTATTAAACTTTTAAAAATAATCTGCTACTTGTTTAAGGTCAGCAATGTTTTATTTTCTGTTATCCTAGAGATAATACAGTGACCAAGGGAGTAAAAGTGAACTATCTGCCAAAACTGATCTCCTTAATTTTGTTAATGAATAGTTCTTCTGTAAAACTCCTTAACTCCTTAACAAAGCAAGTGGAACAGAAAAATCATTATGTGACTAAGAGAAAATGACTAAATCAGCACTGAAGGATTTCTCTTCGAAGCTTCTGAAAGGATATTACTAACAATAGAGAGAGAGGGCATTAGAAATGAAAAATTCAAATCTATTCAAATGTTCTTTGACATTCAAATGGTGAAGTTGTCAGTCTCTGAGGTAAGAGACTTCAGCAGAAGCAATTTAAAGAAAAAAAAAACAATACCCAGATAATGACTCTGAGCATTTCTTCTGCCTAAGCATTCCCACTAAGAATTTATATTCTGCTGCTTCAATGAAACACAGCACTTATTTACAAAGACCAGCTACAGTCTAATCCTTCTATTTCACATCTTCCCCCTGCAGCAATGGAAAAACATGAACTTAGTGCCATTGATAATTGATTCTCCTGGTAACGCAACACATAGCTGCCTCACATGGAAAACGTCCAAAAACACACATGGCATGAGGTGGCCAGCCTGTCAGTGTAAACCAATGCCTGCACCAGCTGTGGCAAGTTGGCACATGGCTGTCATGTACCCAGAGGAGAGCCTCATGCCTGCTTTCAGGGAACACAAGGACAGCAGGGGAGTGCTGGTGGGACAACTCTTGGCCTGGTGCAAGGTCTGCTTGTTCTGGAAAAATATCAGGGAAATCTCAACAATGTATATAAATACCTGAAGGGAATGTGCAAAGAGGACAGAATCAGGCTCTTTTTGGTGGTGCCCAGTGATAGGACCAGAGGTAGTGGGCACAAGTTGAACCATGGGAATTTTCCTTTAAACGTCAGGAAACACTATTGTGAGAGAGGCTGAACACTGGTACAGGTTGCCCAGAGATGTGGTTGAGTCTCTATCCTTGGAAAAATTGAAAATTCATCTGGGTATGACCCTGGGAAACCATCTCTAACTGACCTTTCTTTAAGCAGAGGGGTTGGAATAGGGAGTGCCCAGAGGTCCTTTTCAACCTCAACTATACTCTGATCACAGAATCAGAGAATCAGAGAATCAGAGAATCACAGAACCACAGAACCACAGAATCACAGAATGTTAGGGGTTGGAAGGGACCTCAAAAGATCATCTAGTCCAATCCCTGCTGCCAGAGCAGGAGGGACTGATCGTGTGACTTGATGCGGTAGGCTTCGTCAGCAACTTGAAGGAGGTGGGAGAGCCTGCTGCCAGCACAGAGGAGGTCGCTTCTCGTCTTGCTGACCAAGTACTGCTCAGTACATGCTCAGCAGGAGGCTCTGAACTAGCTGTGCTGTGCCTGCATAAGGGACCCTGCAGCAGAGGGAAGCTCCAGAGCTGCTTGCATGATGGAAAACAGCGCACATCTGGTGCTCTGGTTGTTAAGCCAGCTCTGCTGTCATATGCTGAAACATAACTGTAAGAGAGCTGAGGTGAGCAAGGCAAAAATTCACAGAGTGTACCTCTTCTATCAATAAATACAGAAAAGCTAAAGAGTAACTTTAAAAGTGATGTAAGGGAATATTTACAAACCAATGAGTGTGAGTGCGCTCAGATGGGAGGATCCATAACCTCTGAGACACTCAGCTGGATATTGCTCCCCTCTTCACAGAGAAAGTTGAGGATCTAGACAGAACCTCATAGCCCAGCAACTACCAAAAATATATTAGTGTCTTAAATTGGGAGAACATCACTTAAATGTCTTTGACTCAGCCCCATGCACTGCTGCAGTCAGATCTTTGCTGCATAATGAAAGTGATGATGGATTTCTGTATCCAAAGCTGGTGTGGACACAGATCATATTCTTACATTTGAGTTAAATCCAAGTTTAACTTGAAGGAAGTCTCCCCCTAACTTCAGTGAAATGAAGCACATAACTGCATACAAAAAGGGGATTAGGTAGGGAAGGTGCTGATGCTATAAAATGCTATAGTATAACATAGGCAGGCAATTTTGGGTGGCGCCTCTTTCCTTATTAGAAAGGCAGGTTTGGAAAACAATGGAAAGTCTATTGTTCACTCAGATGATCTTTACCTGACAATATGATAAAAATTACATGATGATAATTTTGCTCCTAGTGAGCATCTAGCCAGCATGCATATGAACTAAAGGAGCAAGACAAAAATGGTACCAGAAAGAAAAATAGTGTTTCTTGACTCTTCTAATTCAATGTGATGATTTTCCATGGATGAAAAACGGTGGTACTAATCTAGTCCTCAAAAAATAACTAACTGTAGTTTAAAAGTGTCAGAGCTAGAACAGCAGTAAGGTCAGGACTAGAATAGCTATAATTTATAAAGACTGGGGTGGAAATGAAGATGAATTGAAGATTTTTCAAATAATTTGTATTCTAACAACTGAGCTTTCAGCATTTCCGTTGACTGAACTCACGAATTCTGAAAAGGAAGTACTCCAAGAGATTTTTGAAAATGGATACTGCTGGTGAGCTACACTTTAGCAATGCTCTTAAAAATATTCATTTGATCTAGTGATTTATTTTTGTTTCCATTTACATAGATATGGAACACAATCATGAGAGAAATAAGAACGGATTGCAGCAGTATATTAATTTATTATAGTATTTTAATCACCGTAAGAATAACTCAGCATGAATATACCTTTTAAAAGTAATTTACCATAATAACTAAAACCACAAATACAACTTTTTCAGAAAAATAATAATGGGAAATGTATTTTTTGGCCTGATGGAGAGGTAAGGAGGGAAGTTGCATTTTGAAATACAATAAAGACATCACCAAGAAAAAAATATATTCGACACTAAAAGCCATTAGGCTAATTTATCCAATAAATTCTAGAAATTAAAATCTATCATGCATTTGGTTTAAGGAAAGCCAGGTATGAATTATTTCAAATTACATCTACATTTCAGATGCATATGCAATTTTTACCATATTGAATCACTAAATGCAATTGTGTAAGAAATGTTCTCTGCTGACCTAAATAGATTTCTTTCAACTTTCAGCTTGAAGAAAAATACCCATGAGGATGCAAATTCATGAGCATAGTATTCATTTTCCTACAGCTTTCTCTTTTCCAGATAACATATTTTCTTTTGTGCTTACTTGTTCCTGGCCGGGCATCGGAAACATCCACCAGTGGTCCTGTAGCTTGTGACACAGACTGGTAATGGACTGTGTGGGTGACAGTCAGTGACTTCTGCTTAGACGTCTCTCCAAAGTCAGCATCAGTGAGCAGAACCGTTGATCTGTCATCTGTAAGTAAAAAAAACCCCAACCGTCAGATAATTGAACGAATTTTGGATTTGCCTTCATAAGAGCTTTACAGCAAGTTCCCAGACCTGTTTTCAGCTGGGTGCCAACACTGACAGTGGCAGTTCGCTCTTCTCTGCAGGGCTGCAGGATAGTTTTGGGGTGTGTACCGCAGCTTGGGAGCCTCTGGGTCTAAACTTAAATTTCGTACAAAACTAAAGAATAAGTGTAATTTTCATGTTTTTCTTGGTGATTTCATAGAATCATAGAACTGTCAGGGTTGGAAGGTACCTTAAAGATCATCTAGTTCCGAACTCACTGCCATTTCCGACCTCACTGCCATAGGCAGGGACATCCCCCACTAGGTCAGGCTGCCCAGAGCCCCATCCAGCCTGGCCTTAAAAACTTCACCTTAGAGATGTGCAACTGAGATAGACTGTTAAATATCCTTCCAAAAAGCTATTTTGTGTGTCATTACTTTTGGCCCTAATTCATTTTTTTTTCCCATTATTGAGTACTGCCCCCTCCCCCTTCATTTTCAGAGATCTCAGCTGAGCTTCTGAACACGTCTTCCCAAAAGGAGGCTGTTAAGTAACATTGCTAACTAATCCTCTACCAGTCAGCTTTTTCTACAGAGACAGAATATTGCAGAAGGCTTGGTCATGATCCAAGACTGTTCTTAGGGAGCTGCATTTTTAAGCAAATGAGTACCGTAGTGAAGGCAATAGAAATATACTTGCAGGGCAGTTAAACATCCTTAAATCCAGTGTTCTGCTGTTCTGGAAGCTAAGGGCTAAGTCTTATCAGCCCTCTCTGCACCAAATCTCACTACTGTAGGTTTGAAAAAGAAAGTCTGGGGAGCTTTATGTGAGTTGTCTATGTTTTCCTCAACATAGTCAGTCCAGCTGACTACTGCATTTCCTGCACCTACAAAGAAAGGTGTGAGATGAAGCCTGGCCTTGGGAAGAACAGGAAGAAAAAGGTGAGCATTGATCTTTAATGCTGTATGGTTCTGCTGCCTATTGCTTCCCTATGAGATATATCCACCAAATTTCTAGACACACCTTGATCCCTGCAGAAAGCCAGTGTTATACAGCACCTCTGTTTTTTTTTCCTGTTGTGATATCAGTATTGTGTTTCGTTTGCTCTAAAGAGGAATCTGAGCCACTTGATCATGAAATTTCTAACAGAAATAAATCTTCCATTGACTTTGTGCTTGCAGAACAACTATTTGCATATTATCAGACTTTCTTTTGCATTTTTTTCAGTCTTTTTATCCATTCATAATAGTAATAAAAGCTCATCAAGCCACTGTCCATCATTTACCAGCAGTCCTTGCTGACTGGTGAGGACCCAGCTGACTGGAAGTCAGCCAATATAACACCCATCTATAAGAAGTGATGGAAGGATGATCGGGGAAATTACAGGCCTATCAGTTTGACTTCAATTCCAGTGAAGCTGTTGGAGCAGATCATCCCGAGTTCCATTATGCAACACATTCAGGACAAACAGGTGATCAGACCCAGTCACCTTGGGTTTACGAAGGGCAGATCCTGTTTAACAAACCTGATCTCCTTCTATGACAGGGTCACCCACTGGTTAGATGAAAGAAAGGCTGTAGATGTTGCCCGTCATGACTTTAGTAAGGCATTTGACAACATTGCCCACAGCATTCTCCTTCAGAAATTGACTGCTCTTGGCTTGGATGGGCATAGGCTTTGCTGGGTGAAAAAAAGATTAGATGGTCGAGTCCAAAGAGTTGTGGTCAATGGAGTTAAATCCAGTTGGCGGCCGGTCATGAGTGATGTCCTTCAAGGCTCATTACTGGGGCCACTCCTGTTTAACTCAGTACTGGGGCCATTCCTGTTTAATTTTATCAATGATCAGGACGAGGGAACAGAGTGCACCCTTAGTAAGTTTGCAGATGACACCAAGCTGAGTGTAAGTGTCAATCTGCTTGAGGGTAGGGAGGTTCTACAGAGGGATCTAGATAGGCTGGATTGCTGGGCCAAGGCTAGTTCCATGAGTTTCAATAAGGCCAAATGCCAGATCCTGCACTTTGGCCACAGCAACCTCTAGCAGCGCTACAGGCTTGGGGAGTAATGGCTGGCAAGCTGCCTGGCAGAGAAGGACTTGGGGTTGTGGATTGACAGTCAGCTGAACAAGAGCCAGCAGTGTGCCCAGGTGGCCAAGAAGGCCAGTGGCATTCTAACCTGTAACAGTGTGGCCAGCAGGGCGTTATGTGATCATGCCCCTGTACTGGGCTTGGGTGAGGCCACATCTTCAGTACTGTGTCCAGTTTTGGGCCCCTCAATACAAGAGTGACATGGAGGTGCTGGAGAGGGTACAGAGTTGGGCTGCCAGGCTGGTAAAGGATTTGGAGCATGTGTCATATGAGAAACAGCTGAGGGATCTGGGGCTGTTTAGCCTGGAGAGGAGACTGAGGGGAGACCTTATTGCTCTCTACAACTACCTGAAAGGAGGCTGTAGCAAGGCAGGAGCTGGTCTGTTCGCCCTAGTGGTGAGTGATAGCACAAGGAAAAATGGCCTTAAATTGTGCCAGGGGAGGTTCAGGTTGGACATTAAGAAGAATTTTTTCACTGAGAAGGTTGTCAGCCATTGGAACAGGCTGCCCAGGGGGGTGGTTGAGTCACCATCCCTGCAGTTGTTTAAGAGACGGGTAGATGTTGTGCTGAGGGACATGGTTTACTAGTGTTGATAGGGCTAGGAAAAAGTTGGACTTGATGATCTTGAAGGTCTCTTCCAGCCAAAAATGTTCTACGATTCTATTTTCAAAAAAATTTCTGCTGTACTATGCTATATACCTTTATAATGTATTTCTAAGGAGACTGGCAGCAGTGGGACTTCCATGCATTTATTTGTCAGCAGAGGTTGATCCACTTCTTTTAAGCATTCCTGGTTTTTTATTTTTTGTTATGTTTTTTTTTAACTTGACAAGACACCATTAAGGCGAACAGCTCTGCACAATAACGTAACGAGCATTTTTTTTACCCAAAGAAGGCCATAAATAGAATAAGCATTATGAAATCAAAGTACTCTGGCAAAAGATGAGCAGGTTGGGAATAAAGCCTCTTGGCAGTAAGCTATGTCAAAGACTGCCAAAGCGCCTGCTTATTCTGAGTGCTGTGTGGAGAGCTGGCTATTACCAAAGCTCTGATCGCATTGCTACAGTTAAGGCACTAATGGTATTTCCACGATAACCCTCAACTGCTCAGCAACTGTAACTCAAAAATAAAACCCATCTTTAGGGTGAAGCTTTGCCACAAAAGACTGCAACATGGAGGCAAACTTAGGGAAGGTCAAATCAGGATTAAACAAAGTCTATATTTCAGGTGAAGCATAGCTCTCCTTTTCAAAGCTGCAGGACAAATTGTCGGATGTCCTTTGAGGCCATGCCCCCATGCCAGACTGACAGCGAGCATGACGGGGCAGGGCTAAAGCAGATTGTCCATCCACAGTGCAGGCATGGACAGGAGATGATGCTCCCAGCTTGTGGAGAACTCTTCTGGCCACAACGTTCCTAGGATGCTATTAAATCTCAGCCATCCCAGGCTTCTTCTCCAGAGACTTTTATCCAAAGAAGTTAGAAAACTAAAAATATGAGTCATTCTGGAGGGTCTTGCCGTATTGTGTTTCCATGCAGTCACAAGATCAGGTTATATTTTTATTCTGTTGAGATTCCAGGCATCTTGTGTTTGCGTTATTTGGGGGGAAAAAAAAAAACCAAAAAAAGCAAACCCAAATAAACAACACCAAACAGTTCTATTTTTCATGACAGCTCAGCTATTTGCCAGCCACATAAGTAATCTTGTTTTCCACTGTGTGAAACAGTTTAGAAGTGAATTTTGCAGACATACACAAAAGCTGAAAACTGATCAAAATGTTGAAATATCATTTGCTATGATCAGGTGGATACAATATGGAATGTTTAAGTTTTAGAAGTTGGCTCTTGCAAATGTTTAAATACTGATACTGTAGTTTGAGAATTTCTTCTTCCTTATAAGTAATGCCAGTGATCGAACTGTCTAGTCAAAGCCAAAAGAGAAATCAAAATGAAAATCATAAAACTGGCAGTCTTCATTTACATTTTCTTCGTCTCTTTCCACTAGCTTCATTTTCCTAATGTCCTGCATTATTTAAAATACTGAGATTACTTAAAGTGGAAAATGTCAAAGGGGAGGAAAAAAAATCAGTTCAATTTTCAAACAGAGCAAATTACTTTTTAGCTGTATGTTCTTGATGTCTGCAACGGGGAAAAGGAATGAGGTAAAGCAAGTCCACTTAAAGTGCCTTTTATGTTAACCAGTGCAAACAAGCTCAACAAGAATTTACCAATTGTCTCCATTGTGTCCCTCTCCTCAATCAGAAGCTGCGCTCTGGGAATGTCTATGTGCATCCTCAGTGTTTGCTGTTGCTTATTAAGTGTATCTGATGTCCTGGTGTTCTTGCTAAAAACAAAAGAGATGTAAACACATTAACATTCAGTGTAAATGAAAAGATACTTGCACACTTCCTCATTTTAAATCTGTCCAGATCAAAAAAAAAAACCAAAACACATAATCAGCAAAAATACTCATATATCTTTACCTCTTTCAGAAAAAGTGCATGGTATTGATTTATTGCACACGACAAGTAGTTAGATGAATGCATAATGTAGAGGAATTCAGTCTATCCTTTATCAATAGAAATCTCCTGAAAATTTCATATAGTTTTCTCATATAATGAAATTAGTAAAAACACTTTGCAAGATGGATATTTTCTCTCATTCCTCATGAATATGAGTAAAGAAACGCACAGCTGATCAAACAAGTTTGTATGAAAATGATGTCTTGAGTAATTTCTAATTATTTTTTAACTCTTCCTTATTTTTCATTATATAAATTTCAAATGTCACTAGAGGTGATAAATGAAGAAGCAAATTAATAACTAGAGATTCCATTAATAAATTGCATAAAATAAATAAAGGTTTTAGTCTCACTGATGTTCCAAGACTAAAATTGCAAATCTTGTTTACATTAATGGATTATTTCTAATTGATTGATGCAATATTCTAAAAAAGAACATAAGCCAATTATTCTGTCATCATGCAAATTGAAACAATTTCATTTTGAAGTTTGTGTACCAGAAAATGACTTCTTAAATGAGCTGTCTACCAAAAGCAAATGAAAATGGATAGTAAAACTGAGCGCTGCAATCGTTTCTAGTACAGAGCTTGCACCAAGAAACCTTCAGATTGCATTAAAAAAACAGGAACTTTTTGCCCTTTTAGATGTAATTACTCTTTGGCAGAGAGGACATATTTGCATATTTAGGCAGGGAGGCTGAGGAAAGTTAAGACAAATCAGCCAGTAGTGTGATCCAAGTGCTCACACTTCAAAGAGCTTTAAAATCCAAGTGGAGGCTTATTTTCTCGTGTAAAATAGTTGTAGATCACTCAGTTTAATTCTCCTTTGGCAATGAATTATTGTTGCTAATGGGATCAGCAGAGGACTATTAAGCTGCTTGATGATAAGCTCATGTCTTCTGTGAGTACAAGCCTCTAGATAGATTAATGTAAGTGTGATGAGCCCACATCTCTAGATAATTTACCTTAACTTCCTGCTGCATCTCAGTGTGAGCATGACCTAACTATTGTAGGTTCAAAGGTCCTCCTACAGTCCGATTTAGGAGGAACTTCCTTGTCACGTGGTCAGTAATTCTGCTCCAAATCCTAGAGTGAGATCCCCAAGGCACACCTCTCTGACTGATTCTCGCCTTTTGGCTTTCTGTGCTTTTCTGGTCCCCAGCATTAACACTATCTATGTGTCTCAAACTTCAATGTCTCTGTCTTTACCTGGGTGGTTACGTGGTACTGTTACCATCATGTACCGATAGACAGCTGAAATTCACTCAACAGCCTGTAACTGGTGCCTCACTTAATCATGATGGAAGAAAAATATCAGGAAAGCTACCAAAGGGCTGCCAGACTTTTCTCCATATATAATCAGTGGAGAACAGTAGTTACAGTGTCTTATTAAGCACATAAATTTTCAAAGACGTTTAGGAATCTAAAATGCAGTTAAACCCCGCACTGATGTTCTCAAGGTCTCTCCATGGATTTGATGTCACTCTCCTATCAGTTTCCACTCAAGCTGCAGAAATGAGAAGAAAATCAGACTAATATCTTATCTGCATGCTCTTGAAAAGTTGGACTACTTTGGGATGTCAGTAGTCATCAGGTAGAAAACTGAATTTCTGAGGTCCAATTTCAATTAATAATCGATAAGTCAAGAGTTACAGGATGCAGGCAATCAGATACCTGTAAAATCTGTGCAACACATAACTTAGTCCAATAAATGCATCATTGCACCTCTCCTCTGCTCATCAGGGATGCAGGAGATAAAGGGATTAAATCAGATATCATCTTCAGAAAATGCAGACCCCAGAATCCCAGTGAGACCTAGAAGCTCTTCTGCAGTACTCACACTCTGTATTCCTACTGTTACAAAGTATTTGGCTGCACAGAAAGTACTGTTTGGACAACAGGGAGCAGAAGGACAGCTCCCCAGGTTTGCAGTTGTATTGCTCACCTGGCAAAAGAGAATTTTGAATCCCATTCTTGACTCCAAGGATAGCTTTATGCAAAATACGTGGGAGATCCTTCAAGCCAGAACTGGAACCCAGGCCCCCCTATATTCAAGAAAACTCCCTCTACGCTCAAGAGTTCCACCTTGTTTTGTGTTCTCTCTCTCTCTCCTCCTTACTGGTCTAATTAACTCTCCTGTATCCAGCTGCATGGTGACATGGAGCATCCAAACATAGAACAGGCAATTAGCAGTAGCAAGAGGGTTGCTGCTGATTAGCATGCTATCTCTTTCTGGTTCAAGGAATTTTGAATTATTTTCTGCATACCACTATAGCTGAACTTTCAAGTTATAAAAACCTAAAGTGCCAACAGCAATTAAGTGCCTCGAGGACATGGCAGCAAGGCAAAGATTTTCAGGACTGCAGTTTTGAAGTTCAGTGCCCAAGTACTTTCTAGCACAGGAAAACAGAGACATCAAAGTATTATAAAATCTGGTGGATGAGGAGTCCAATGATTAGTTATTTAAAGGAAGGAAACATATCTACTTATATTTTCCTTACCTTACAGATATAAAATTCACAAACTTAAGTATGTGCTATGGCTATTCTTTACCTGCCAGACCTTACAGAAAGGTAGAGCAATTTGGTTTGGAAAAGACCATTGAGATCATCGAGTCCAACTGTTAACCTAGTGATGTCAGGTTCACCAATAAACCACGGCCCTAAGTGCCACATCTACACATCTTTTAAATACTTTCAGTGATGATGACTCCACCACTTCCCTGGGCAGCTTGTTCCAGTGCTTAATACCCTTTGGGTGAAGAAATTTTTCCTAATATCCAATCTAAACCTCCCATTT